AATCCTTTTTGCTTTTATGTTCATGAGAACTCCAAGCACTGGTAAAGGAGGAACATCAGAGCCCCTGAAACACATTGGCTGTCCTACTTTGGATTCTTTGATTTAATGATCTGGCTCTTTTGTTGAAGTTCTTGCTTTTTGGTCTTTCAGTCAGTGTTTTCCAGGTAGGGGTTCATAGAACAAGTGAGCTTCATAGATATGAGTGACCTGAATTAGGAGGTATATGGGAGGTCCAGTGCCTTCCCCACACACTTTCTAAATTCTCCAACACAAATACTGTAAATAAACATTTGACAGGGTTTAATCTTTCCCTTATCTATCTAAAACAACAAGAAAAATCTGGGCTAGACCTTAGCGTGTGTTTTTGTGCTCACTATGCTATTCTATTTTCTATTCAGAAATTAAATATTGTTAGTTGTCAGGGTAATATAATCCCGAGGGAGATTACATCATAGTCCATATACACTTTCTATTGATATTAAAGTACAAATAGATGACATCAAAACAAAAAGGCTCAAACTAAGCAAAATATACATTCCACACAATACAACATCACTGATGGGGTATGCAGTTCCAACCAACATATAACCAAGGAAAGGTAAGCCAGTTCATGTTCAGTTCTGTCTCATGGCCTCCAGGGGATTTTTTTTAAAACAGTAAAAAAAAATGTAATTTTTTCACATATTACTGTATAATTAACTTTCTTCTTGGCTACTGTTGCATGCACATAGATGTATTACATTACTGCCAATTATATGTTAGCTTCCTGCCTGCTGTGAAAATGTTCCTGGGATTGACCACTGCAGACACAACCAAAACCAAGCAATGTTCCAAAGGAAAGAACACAGAGTTCTAATTTTGGTAATATCCACGCCATTTCATTCCTAAATTGACAAATTATTTAAAAAAATGGTCTGCGGTTTATTTTCTTATTGCAAACTATTGGAACAAGGAATGAAATTATGCAATTGGTGTGATACATTATTTTTCCAATACATGGCAGCTACTATCTATGCAAAAACTACTAATATAATGGCTAGTTATTTTGCTTTGGACAATATATAAATATACACTGCTTAAAAAAATTAAAGGAACACTTTGAAAACACATCAGATCTCAATGGGGAAAAATATCATGCTAGATATCTATACTGATAAGGACTGTGTAATGTGTTAGGAACATAAGGATGCCCCATCGTTTGATGGCAATGAAAATTATCAACCTACAGAGGACTGAATTCAAAGACACCCCAAAAATCAGAGTGAAAAAATGATGCAGCAGGCTAGTCCATTTTGCTGAAATTTCATTGCAGCAACTCAAAATAGTATAGTAATAATTGTATGGTCCCCACGTGCTTGTATGCATGCGTGACAATGTTGGGGCATGCTTTTAATGAGACAACGGATGGTGTCCTGGGGTACCAGTCAGGGTGCCATTATCTAACCTGTAGAGGTCTGTGCGTCCCTCCATGGATATGCCTCCCTAGACCATCACTGACCCACCACCAATACTGTCATGCTGAATGATGTTACAGGCAATATAACGTTCTCCACAGCTTCTTAAATCCCTTTCACGTCTGTCACATGTGCTCAGGGTGAACCTGCTCTCATATATGAACAGCACAGGGCACCAGTGGCGGACCTGCCTATTCTTCTGTTCAATGGCAAATGCCAATTGAGCTCTATGGTGCCGGGCAGTGAGCACAGGGCCCACTAGAGGACATTGAGCCCTCAGGCCACCCTCACGAAGTCTGTTTCTGAGTAGCCTGCTGGAGGTTATTTTGTAGGGCTCTGACAGTGCTCATCTTGTTCCTCCTTGCACAAAGGAGCAGATACTGGTCCTGCTGATGGGTTAAGGACATTCTACGGCCCTGCCCAGCTCTCCTAGAGTAACTGGCTGTTTCCTGGAATCTCCTCCATGCTCTTGAGACTGTGCTGGAGCACACAGAAAACCTTCTGGCAATGGCACATATTGATGTGCCATCCTGGAGGAGTTAGACTGCCTGTGCAACCTTTGTATGGTCCAGGTATCACCTCATGCATAGGACTGACCATAGCCAAATGTAAAACTAGTGAAAAACAATCAGAAAAGATGAATAGGAAAAAAAAATGTCATTCGCCTCCACCATTCCTGTTTTGGGGGTGGTCTCATTGTTAGCCATCTAGTGCACCTGCTGTTAATTTAATTAACACCAAAGCAGCTGAAAAGAAACTGATTAACAACCCCCTCTGCTACTTAACTGACCAGAGCAATATCCCAGGAATTTAATTGGCTTGATGCTATACTCTAATTAAAAAGTGCTCCTTTAATTTTCTCGAGCAGTGTATATTGGTGGATGAGACATGGGATTTTACACAAGGAACCAAAGATTAAATTGTGTGTCGTTTTGGTGGGAGGAACCCAATCTATAACAAAACAACCAGCAATGGTAATGAAAACGTATTAAATATCCTAACACTTCTATATCCCTGCTCTACATGTGATAATACCACCCACAGTGAAAAACACAAGAGCTTGTCAGTTGTGAAACCACTATGAACATCAGTATAAATACTGTCAAACACATACTCATCAGCTAATAACATACAAAACAAAGGCAAATGATGTTTAAAATGAACAACAGATGATTATCAAAAGAGTATACAAAAGAATATACTGTATAACAATGCATTGTAATACTAAAAGTGAAAGGATCTTGAAAATACAGCTGTCAATAAAAGAAATCCAAACTCACCCAACAGATCAACACTGTCCATTAATTGCGGGCAGCCCGCAGGTCATATTCCAAAACCTCTGTGTTTTCAGGGAGACCAATCAGACAGAAAGTACTAGGGTACCTGACACATGTAAAGTAAACTAAGCATGTATAAACCAATATTTCATAATGTATGGTTGCAGTAGTGAATGCTGTCAGTGACTACAAGAATATTGCTGTGGCTGAATAAATGAGCAGGTTCCTTATAAACAAACAAAAAGGGCAGAGATACAAATAGTAAAACTACAAAATTGCCTGTAAATATAGTAAATGTAGTCAGCCAGACTAATACATTTAAGAAAACTATAAGCAATTAGGTTTTAAAAGTTGCTATAAATCAAGTGAGATTGAAAGTTTGTGCTAAACCACCATAGAAATTCTGATTCACACAGTTATAAGAGAAAAAGTAATGTATGCTGAATGCCACCTTCGGCCTTATCGTATCGAATGAGGCAGACTGCAGCCACAAGCAACTGGGGACCAAGCACTGCAATCAACTCACCCACTTTCACCTCCATGTATACCAATTTAAAGGTAACTATGCTTAAACTCATCACAAAATACAGGTCTAGTGCCACCTGCAGAAGAGCCGCTGGCTTGTTTGGGTCACTTATGCCCTGTACCAGTGATAACTTGGACCCAAGACCACAAGCATACCTGCTACATTTTAAATAGCCATTATTTAACGGCAAAATCCATGTAAGGAAAAGGATGGGTTAGACAAGATAACAATAAACCAAAAAAAGCATGTTATAACAGCAATTAAAAGAAGCATCTATCTAGAAGGCAGGTACACTTTTTGGATTACTGGGCAGTGAACAAACAGCTAATGTTCCGCTGGTGTTGGAGCCTTTGTGGTGGTGCCCTTGCTCCTTAGTGTAATCCCAGGAAAGGGGTAATTCAGCCTAAAAAATAAGAATCAAAGGAAGTTAATTGCCAAGAGACCTCTCGCCACTGTAGCGGTGCTCGAGTGGGTCAGCGGAAGAGTCCCACTGCTCAAGCAGATGTCAGGAGCAGTACCTCTGGAACAGGGGCGGACTGATCATTTAGAAACTCGGGCACTGCTCGAGGGCCCCGGGTCAGTAGGGGGCCCCATGAGATGCCCCTGGTACCTTTTTCATAGGCTTTTTTGAGTTTGGGCAAGGACACAGGGGCCCCATGATCCCCTATTGCCCAGGAGCCCCATGAGTTGTCAGTCCGTCCCTGCTCTGGAAGGAGTTAGTATAGCTCTCTGGAACAACATCTCTGGAACAGATCTAACAAGAGACTAGTGTGACTCTGGGCACAGCCCCAAAGGCACACCACACAAAGATATAACAGGAACAGCCCACGTGTCTTTGAGGGATTCTTAGCATGCTAACCCCAAAAGTAAAACACCAGCCAGGTGGTCCAGCAGATCTCTCTCAGTGGCAGGTGTGTTTCTCCTGGCTCCTGACAGCTATTGGAATTAAAGTGGTCGTAAACCCTTATATATACTCACTGAAGCAAATAGCCTCACGTGATACACAAAGATTAAACAAATCCTCCTAGATAAGTTGTACCTGTTTATCTGCCTTCCCTTCTTCTCCTTAGCTTTCTAAAACCCACATATCAAAGGCAATTTCTCAACTCCAGCAGGCATGGAGCAGGGATGTGACATCACACACTGCACAGCATAGAGAGAGGAGAGTTGAATGTAATTTGAGACCTAAGCGCTTGTTTACCAGCTATCTACCTAGATCTCTCCCCAGGCTCTGACAGCAGCTTGACAGCCCCTTGGGCACACACAACTGGTTTATTAGGCACACAGCACTCCCCTAGACACCCCATGTGGGTCTTGCAGCATTCCTCTGCTTTCCCACTCTGCCCGTGGGTCCTCAGACACTATCCTGTACCCCATGTGGGTCCCAGCACTTCTGTTGTGCTGTTGGTGGGACAAAAACCCATCAGCCAATCAACTCTCATCTTGGTCCTGGCAACCCAAAGGATGTCCTTGGGTTCCATGTTTGCCAGGGTTATCCAGGATAAGGAACTGGTATAGATAAATGAAATCTCTGGTCACTTTGTTTACCGATAGAATTAGGCAGCCAACAGTTGTCATTTGCTAGCAATTTAAAAACAGTATTTTTTACCTTGTAAATGTAAATTTTTCTGTAATAGGTTGTATACATTGTACAGATGTGAAACTGCACAGGAAGGTTTAGGGTATCCTCCATGTATGTTATTTAAAGAAAGTGTGCATTTTTAATATATTATTTAGTTAGGAAATTACCATATTTTTTTCTCCATAAGACTTACCTGACCATAAGACACACCTAGATTTTAGAGGAGGAAAACAAGAAAAAAAAAATCTGAACCAATGGACTGCAGACATACTGTAGTACAGGAGATGACCAGAGACTGCAGACATAGTTCAGGAGATGACCAGAGACTGCAGACATACTACAGGAGATGACCAGAGACTGCAGACACAGTACAAGAGATGACTAGAGACTGCAGACATAGTTCAGGAGATGACCAGAGACTGCAGACACAGTACAGGGGATGACCAGAGACTGCGGACACAGTACAGGAGATGACCAGAGACTGCAGACATAGTACAGGAGATGACCAGAGACTGCAGACATAGTACAGGAGATGACCAGAGACTGCAGACATAGTTCAGGAGATGACCAGAGACTGCAGACATAGTTCAGGAGATGACCAGAGACTGCAGACATAGTTCAGGAGAGGACCAGAGATTGCAGACATAGTTCAGGAGATGACCAGAGACTGCAGACATACTACAGGAGATGACTAGAGACTGCAGACATACTACAGGAGATTACTAGAGACTGCAGACATAGTACAGGAGATGACCAGAGACTGCAGACACATAATTCACAAAAGAAAAGTTGGGTTAAAATGGAAAGTATTATAGGCAATACACAATTGGAGAAGATCATTTGGATCCCACGTAAATATAGAGTAATAGATGTAAATAGTAGCACGTTGACAAAGGAAGTGTTGAGAATATGGGATGGGTTGCACAAGTCTATGGGATGGGAGTATAATTCACTATTGTTACCATTGGTTGACACAAAATTTTTCCCTCCTGGGAGAGAGGAGGTATCGGGAAAATGGTTTAAAGATAGAAATACACGTTTGGGAGACATAATAGATAAAGGGAAAATACACGCTTTTCAGGGATTAAAGAATAAATTTGTTACACTAGATAAAATGAGATATAGCCAATTAACACATTTTGTCTTAACTCTCCCCCAGCCACTGAGGATGGTGGAAGAGATGCTACCATTTGAAAAATTGATGAGTTCGAAGATGAATTGTGAACATATAACATCAAGGATTTATAAGATCCTATCTGAACTCATGGGAGCTGGAATTCTGACATTCTTAGAAAAATGGGAAAGAGAACTGGGTATAAAAATCCATGATCAACAGAAAAGAAAAGTGTTAAAATTAATACACGGGGTGAGGAATATGAACATAGTTGAAATGAATTATAAATGTTTGTCTAGATGGTACTGTACACGGAGTGTGGCACATAAACAGCGAGAGGAGGCATCACCATTATGTTGGAGGGAATGTGGGGCATTAGGGACGATGACGCACATTTGGTGGGAATGTCAAAAGATACAGGTATTTTGGCAAGAAATAATCCAAAATATACAGGAGATTTGGGGGACTTCAATCCAGAAGGACCCGTTGGTGTGTCTTTTCCATAAAACAGAGTTGCCCGTAAAACAATATAAAAATAATATATTGTATTATCTATTGAGTGCGGCAAAGAGCTTGATTCCTAAATATTGGCAATCCCAGGATCCCCCAACAATGAAGGACTGGATAAATAGAACTGGGTATATCAATAGCATGGGGGAGTTGTGTTGTATTGAGGAGGATAAAGTGGAAGTGTTTAGAGAAAAATGGAAAGGGTGGTATGATTTCAAAACATTGGGAAAATATGTTAAAATGAAAGGTGATTTAGTAACAGAGTTGGAGAAGTGAAACGATTAAACAGATAAATAGGAATAGGTTGGTATACAGAAAGGCAAAAGAGAAGCTAAGACAGGAATGGACATAGGTTTTTAAGGGGGGGGGGGTGGAGAG